GGGCTCCGGCAGTGCGACCGACCGAGATGCGGTTTCTATCTGGGACCCAGGAGGAAGGAGGGGTCCGCGCGGTTTTTATGGAGAAGCAAATATTTCGGTTTTTTATTTATTGAAGTTGTTCGTCTGGCAGTGAGAAGCACCGAAGCAGGCGCCCCTTTGTTTTCACTGTCTGTTATTCGAACTGAAACGCTGGTTTCTAAGCAATATGAGGCTACCTGCGGCCAGAGCTGGGTGCCAGGCCTGGGCCCCTCCCCGACCCCCACCCCACAGGAAGCCCTTGCGTGCACTTTTTACATAAGATAAAGGGAAGGAAAGAAAGCAAAAACACAACCTTCTTTGCCACAAACTGAGCCACTGAACCTCCTGCTCCCCACCCCCTCCTTGCCCCTCCAGCCCCCTCCTCTCTGCTCCTTTCTCTGGCTCTGCGCCAAAGCCATAGGATTTGGGGGCGGGGTGTGGGGCGGGGAGGCTGGCCCCAGGAGCCAGGGGGTGACCAAGGATGCTGGCCAGACCCCTTGACAGTTTAGTGGCCATTCCCACTTGCCACCCACCTCAGACCAAGTCCCTGTTAGTCTTCTGGGCATTGGCTGGACAGGGTCAGGGTTTAGGGGGGTGGTGAATGGACCAGAGGGGGCTCAGTAGAGGGGCCTCTTGCGGGTGGTCCAGTGATGCAAGCCCCCAGGGTGGGTGGGATGGGACTCCTGGACTTCCTGGAGACTGACCCCTTTGCAGCTCCTGGACTGTAGCCCCTGCCCCCCTACTCTCAGCCCCTGCCTAGGGGGAAAAACAGCAGGGGGGAGCAGTGTCTAGCTCAAGGCTAGAGGAGTGGAGTAAGCAATGCAGGCCTGGGCCCAGCTCTGAGCAACAGCTTCAGAGCCCTGTCCTGCCCCCCCACCGCTAGCTCCAGGCCCCTGGGAAGCATATGGATATAGGGGTGTACCTGTGGGCAGAGGGACCAGAGCAAACCGGTCTTGCTTTGGGGGGTGGGGACCTAGCACCACTCAGACCCTTATCCTTGGGTGGCAGTGGACAGCAGGGGGAGGTCCTTGCTTTGAGAGAGCTGTCTCTTGGCATATAGAGGCAATAGGTGCCCCATGTTTGCCCCACATCTTGGTGGGCAGCGTGGTGGGGAGAGTAGCCTCCCAGGGTAGAAAGGCCTCTGCACAGCCCCCTCCCAGGGCTGCTCCCACAGTATCTGCGGGCCACAGGCCTGCCCCCCATCCTACCCCCAGCCAGGAGCTGAGGACAAGAGGAGAGCCCCAGAGAGCCCCTTGGGATCCAAGGCTTTGGGGGCACTCGTCTTTGGGTTTGGTAATGGGGATTGGTGACCCCAGGCAGGACAGGGTCCCCGTGCCGGCTGAGCTGCACCCCTCCCCGATTCCCTCTCTGTTCTTCTTTTGCCCCCAGTCCTCCTCAAAGCGAAAGTCCTGCTCCTGCCCTCGCCCTACCCGCTCCCCAAGAAAATAAGCTATCATTGTGTTGTATTTGCAATCTACGGATTAGAGGTTTAAGTATTTATTATCATTGGTTAATTATTATTATTATTATTATTAATTATGTAAGTGTGCCCCTGTCTGTCTGTCTGTCTGTCTGTCGCATCGGGTGACCCTGGGTGTGGAGGATCCATCTTCTACCTTCTCGACACCCCCCCCCACCCCTCCCTGTGCTGTCCAGGAGACAGTGCTCTGGGGCTCATGGTTGGGCCCTGAAACCCAGGAGGCAGGTCCCCCGGCCCCACTTTCTCCCACTCCTTCCTGTCCCCAGGCCACCTCCTTCACGGTGGCTTCCCCTGAGATGTGGGGGCCTTGGGGCCCTAATCTGTCCTGGTTCTTGTTCTTGAGGCATTGATCACCCCAAGTGAGCAGCCCAGGGCAGGAGATGCCCCACTGTCCAGTGTGGGAGGGCTGGACCACAGCATCCTTGCCAAACCTCTGTCCACCCTGCCCCAGCTCAGTGGTTGGCATGGGGGCTCCCCACTAGAATGTATCTGCCCCCTCTGCGGCTTTCTGGAAACAGCAGCTGCAGGGAGGAGGCAGGTCCCCTTCAGGCCCTCTGGGGGGGGCTGGCCACCCCCCAACCCCTCCTGCCTCAAACCTGGACTGAGAGAGGACAAACCTTCCTCTCTGTCTGTCCACCCGTCCTGTCCCTCCTTTTGTATTTGGAAACAATGTGTTGTAATAAATCCGGACGTGGATGTTTCTCCCGACTCCAGCGGCCTCTTTCTTGGGCTGGTGAAGGGCCGAGGGGGCACGGGGATGAGAGGCTTGGGGGTCCCAGGGACAGTGCTGAAGAACAGCTCCTGTGAAGCTGGGAGCTGCTTTGTTGCGTCTGAGTGGCCTTGGCGGAGCCAGTCACGCACAGAACTCCAAGGAGGGGTGTTGGGAGGCAAGGGACGGGAATCTGTGAGGGGGACCTCCTTTCTCATCTGGACCTCTGTCAGCAAGTGCTGCAGCCCCCAGCTGCACCCCTCAGGAGAAGTACTCTGACACACCAAACCAAAACCCCTGCTGTCCATGTGACGCGTTCTGTGGTGTCAGGGCTGCCCCTCGGAACGGGGGCACTCATCTTTCACCCTCAGAGTAGCTGGTGGGCTCGAACCACTGACCGTGGGGTTATCAGCCCAATACCAGACCCACAGTGCCACCAGGGCTCCTCTGTGGTTGTTACGTAATAGCCAACGTTTAAACCACGCTGAGCAGGGAAGTGAGAACGCAGCAAAGCGGATGCTGATGGGGAGAGTCTGGTGGAAGTGGGAGACGGCAGCCTCCCGTATCCCCAACTCCTTGTCCGCTCTGTTCTCTCCCCCTGCTCTTGAACGGAGGCTTTGGGGGTTCATTTGTTGTCACCATGGGGGGTTTGGATAGGTGAGTCTACAGCGACAGTACCTAGTCATCGTTCCTTAGGGTGATGGCAGGGGGAGTTGGGGGGTAATGGGGAGCTAATAAGGGGGACAAGAATGAAGAAAGTGTTCTCAAATTGATTGTGGCCATGACTGCACAACCCTTTTTAATATGTTTAAGCCGTTGAACTGTATGGTACGTGGATTATATGCCAATAAAACTGTCTGGGGAAAATGAGTCTGGCTCAGTGTTTTCTCCAGTGGACAAGAGCAGGGCCAGCGGCGGCTGCTGCCGGAGGAGCCCCCGGAGGCAGACACCTGCACCGGGCCCCCGATGGCGGTGGGAGCACAAATGCGTCTCAATGCCAGTGGAGTGGGGGCGCTGGGCCGTTGGTTTGCTTCTTTGTTTTCTGAAAAGGGGGAGCCGGCCAGATAAGCAGGAGTCGTTAAAGTCCTCTCAAACCACGTGATATTAATGCTTCATTTTCACCTTTCCCAACGTCCCAGCTCCGCAGCAGTGGCCACTGTGCAGTCCACCATATCTCAGTGTGTGTGTGTGTGCGTGCATGTCCACACACCCACACACACATCACACAAATCACCCATCACACATATACACACCATACACTAGACACGCTGTATTAGTCTGGGAACTTTAGAGAAACAAATCCACAGAAACTCGTGTATCAGAGAGAGTTTTATATAAAGGTTAAGTGTGCATCAAGAAAACATCCCAACCCAGTGCTGCCCAAGCCCACAAGTCCAACATTAACCCATATGTCTGACACCAATCCACAACGTCCTCCTGCATCTCACAAAACAGAGGCAATGATGCCGACTGCAGGAGGAAAGCCAAGTCAGTGAATATGTAAGCATCTCAGTGCTGGCAGGGGTCTCCATACAGCTGCTCCAGCACCCAGGGCTGCATCGGGGTAGGTCCATGTGGCTTCTCCTTGGGGATGTCTTGCAGGAAGTCAGCCTTGTGAGCTGAAGCAGGGAACTGCTAAGGCAGCTGCACCCTGGTGCGACCATCAGAAAGCGAGAGGCCCGAGAACTAGAAAGGCCAGGCTCACTGAGCTATTTATCCCTGCGCCCTTCAATTAATCCCACATGTGTTTATTGGCCAGGTTGGCACAATAAACTAACTCACTCACCATATACATACACACACACACACCACACCACACCTCCCCACACACATCACGTACCACACACACCACACACACCACACACACCACACACCACACACATACACATCACAAACACCACATACACATCACACTTCACACACACCACATACATATTACACACACTGCACACACATTCACACACGTGCATGCGTGCTTCCTTCTCAGCCATCACAGGGCTGGCAGTAGAGAATCTTCAGCCAGCTTTTCTTTCCTGGACAAGTTTAAGGAGGAGGCGCCCCAGTGAGGATTTAGCTACACAGAGGGCATTT